AATACCTACCAAAGTACAAGGGCATTCCTTTGAGGAATATTTCACCTTACTCCATCTTCTTTCCTCTCTACTGAAAAAGTCAGTTCCAAGAAAAAATGTTAGACAAATTAAATGTCTATTTAGTTCAGTTTATTGGAGCACAGAGTGATTCCTCTACTCAATGTACACATAGTCCTGTTAGCTAAGACAACATGAGTAAGAGAGCTTTCCTGAGCAGCTCCAGCCTTGACATAGAGATAACCTCACAGCTAATGTTTGACGGCCACAACTGAGAGCACTGTAGCAGGAACTTGGGATTTGTAGGATTTTTAAAAATACAATACAATATTGTTGTTTTATAGAAAACAACAATATATGTACATAAAAACAAATCATCAAGGGCTTAACAAGAGACAGACTGAAGAATGGACATTACCTTGAGAAAAACACCCTAATCTTTTCTTTAAAAGTTATATTTTGTAAACTCTCATTAAAAGCCAATTTATTTATTTATGCATGTGATGCATATCTGTGTAGTTTGCATACATGTATGCAGAGGTGCATGCTTTTATGGGCACAGAGGCCACAGGAGGACACTGAGTGTTCTGCTTTATTATTCTCCACTTTTTTCTTTAGGTAGGGTCTCTTATTGGACCTGAATGTATGAGTCAGGCTTCTCTAGAGTAGCAGAACTTACAGAATAAACCCCTATTATCTATCTGTCCATCTCTCTGTCTGTCAGTCTGTCCATCTGTGTGTCTGTCTGTCTACCTATCTGTGTAAAGGGGATTTATTAGAACTACTCACAGGCTGCAATTCATCTCTACCAACAATGGTGAACTATGAACAGAAAATCTAAGAACCCAGGAGTTGTTCAGTTCACAAGGTTGGATGTCTCACCTGGTCTTCAGTAGATGCTAGAATTCCAAAGAAATAGGCTTTAATACCAGTGAAGGAGTGGACTCTCTCGAAAAGAAAGAGCAAGCCTGCAAAGAGCAAAAGCTTCTTTCTTCCATGTCCTTATATAGGCTTCCAGCAGGTGTGTCCTACATTAAAGGTATGTCTTCCTGCCTCAGAATCAGAATCAAGATCCTGATCAAAGGTATGTGCATTCCTACTTCAAAGTTCCAGACTGTAAGTGGATTCACTCAACCAAAAATAACCTCTTACGGGTATGCCTCTGTAATGGAAGTTTTGTATGGTTTTTTTTTGTATGTTATGTAAAAATATTTTTACATGTGCAAAATATTTATTGCGTTACTGTCTCACTAACATGTTTTTTATTTTTATAATAATTTATTTTTAAAATTTATTTATTTATTTATTACAGCTTATTCATTTTGTATCCCAGCTGTAGCCCCTCTCCTGTACTTTCCCAATCGCAGTTTACGTCCCTTATTTCCAACCATGCCCCTCAGCACGTCCACTGATAGGGGAGGTCCTATTCCTCTTCCTTTTAACCCTAGCCTTTCAGGTCTCCTCAGGACTGGCTGCATTGTGTTCCTCTGAAGGCTGCTTTCTACTCTGGTGGAGGTGATCAAAGAGCCAGCCACTGATGTTGGTATAACATTCTTTTAAAATGTATACACCTTACCCTTGTTCATTCAAATGCTGATTTCTACCCCCACTCTCTGGTTTGAATTCGGATATTGCATTGTGATACTCATTCTAAGCATCCTGTCTCAAGTTGGTGCAAACTTCCAAAGAAAGCAACTAGACACAATGTTGAGCTGGGAAGAGCCAAAGGACAGGAAATGAGTGGGAGGAGAAGGGGTGAGAGGAGAGCTGGAGAAGAGATCTTGGAACTACGTGGAGAGATAGATTGGACCTAAGATATCACAAAAAGCAAGTATAATGTGGGGAATCTAAATGTTAGGAAACTAAGAGGGCTTGGAGGTTTAGGATGGAGTAGCTATTGCCCAGCATTGTGTTCTAGGTTAACTAAATAAACCCAGTGTCTGTGTGGTGATTTGGTTATGCAGCTGTTTAGGACTAACAGCAGCTTTACTAAAAGATAATTATTAGTAAATATTAATCACCACTTAACAACACACTGAGTTCATGTCAGAGACAGTCCCTTACTAGGAAACCTACTTGGACACTGAGCTGCCATGGGCTACATCTGTGCAGGGGTTCTAGGTTATGTCCATGCATGATCCTTGGTTGCAGTATCAGTCTCAGAAAAGACCACTGGGCCCAGATTTTTTGGTTCTGTTGTTCTCCTTGTAGAGTTCCTGTCCCCTCCAGGTCTTTCTATCTCCCCATTCTTTAACAAGATTCCCTGCCCTCTGCGCAAAGTTTGTTATGAGTCTCAGCATCTGCTTTAATACCCTGCTGGGTAGAGTCTTTCAGAGGCCTCTGTGTTAGGCTCCTGTCCTGTTCCCTGTTTTCTCCCTCTTCCAATGTCCATAGCATTTACCTTTCTGAGTGAGGATTGATCATCTTACCCAGGGTCCTCCTTCTTGATTAGCTTCTTAAGGTGTACATATTTTAGCATGATTATCCTATATTATGTCTAATATCCACTTATAAGTGAGTATATACCATGTGTGTCTTTCTGCTTTTGGGATACCTCACTCAGGATGATCTTTTCTAGATCCCACCATTAGCCTGCAAATTTTATGATTTCCTTGTTTTTAATTGCTGAGTAGTATTCCATTGTGTAAATGTACCACAATTTCTGTATCCATTCCCTCCACAGAGGGACATCTGGGTTGTTTTGAGATTCAGGCTATTACAAATAAAGATGCTAAAAACACAGTTGATCAAATGTCCTTGTGTACTTGAGCATATTTTGGATACATACCTAGGAGTGGTATAGTTGGATCTCGAGGTAGCACTATTCCTAATTGTCTGAGAAAGCACCAAATTGATTTCCAAAGTGGTTGTACAAGTTTACATTCCCACCAGCAATGGAGGAGGGTTCCTCTTTCTCCACATCTTCTCCAACATGTGTTGTCACTTGAGTTTTTGATCTTAGTCATTCTGATGGGTGTAAGGGGGAATCTCAGGATCATTTTGATTTGCATTTCCCTGATGACTAAGGATGTTGAGCATTTCTTTTAAGTGTTTCTCTGCCATTCGGTATTCCTCTATTGAGAAGACTGCTTAGATCTGTACCCCAATTTTTAATAGGATTACTTGATTTGTTGCTTTTTAACTTATTTAGTTCTTTATATATTCTGAATATTAGCCTTCTGTCAGATACAGGTTTGGTGAAGATTCTTTCCCAGTCTGGAGGCTGTAATTTTGTTCTGATGACAGTGTCCTATGCTTTACAAAAGCTTTTCAGTTTCATGAGGTCCCATTTACTGATTGTTGATCTTAGAGCCTGTGCTGTTGGTGTTCTGTTCAGGAAGTTGTCTCCTGTGCCAATGAGTTCAAGGCTCTTCCCCACTTTTTTCCTTTTTAAAAATATTTATTTATTATGTATACAAAGTTCTCTCTGCATGTATGCCTGCACGCCAGAAGAGGGCAACAGATCTCAGATATCCGTGAGCCACCATGTGGTTTCAGGGAATTGAACTCAGGTCCTCTAGAAGAGCAGCCAGTCCTCTTAACCTCTGAGCCATCTCTTCAGCCCCCCCACACACACTTCTTTTTCTAACAGGTTTTCGGTGTCTGGTTTTATGTTGAGGTCTTTGATCCACTTGGACTTTAGTTTTGTGTAGGGTGATAAATATGGTTCTATTTGTAGTTTTCTATATGTAGACATCCTGTTAGACCAGCACCACTTGTTGAAGATGCTGTCTTTTTACCATTGTATGGTTTGGCTTTCTTTGTCAAAATTCTAGTATCTGTAGGTGTGTGGGTTTATTTCTGGGTCTTCTATTCAATTCCATTGCTCCACCAATCTGTTTCTATGCCAGTACCATGCAGTTTTTATTACTATTGCTCTGTAGTACAGCTTGAGATCAGGGATGGAGATACCTCCAGATGATCTGTTGTTGTACAAGATCGTTTTAGCAATTTTTGTTTGTTTGTTTGTTTGTTTTTCATTATAGAGCAAAGCTTTATTCATCCTCAGCGACGAGAGAAAGGCAAGCTCACTGGTGAATCACTTCAAGATGCTGTCATCTTCAGCTTCCGCCCGTTATCTCTCAATGCGTTTCAGCTCATCTAGTCGCTTCTTTTTTTTTTTTTTAATTTTATTTTTTTCTTATCAGTTACATTTTATTAACTCTGTATCCCAGCCGTGTCCCAATCCCTCATTCCCTCCCAGTCCCTCCCTCATCTCCACCGTGCCCCTTGCCAAGTCCACTGATAGGGGGAACCTCCTCCCCATTTCATCCGATCCTGTTTTATCAGATATCTTCAGGACTGGCTGCAAAGTCCTCCTCTGTGGCCTAACAGGACTGCTCCTCCCTTGGGGGGTGGGGAGGCCAAAGAGCCAGTCATTGAGTTCCTGTTAGAAATAGTCCTTGTTCCCCTCACTATGGGAAGCCAATTGGTTACTGAGTTACCACGGGCTACATCTGAGCAGAGGTTCTAGGTTACATTCATACATGGTCCTTGGTTGCATGTCAGTCTCAGAAAAGACCCTGTGCCCAGATATGTTTGGTCCTTGTGGAGCTCCTATCCTTTCCTCATCAGACTAACTCCCCTTCTTTCTTATGATTCCCTGTACTCTGCCAAAGGTTTGGTCATGAGTCTTTGCTTTGAAAACACTGCTAGTTAGAGTTTTTCAAATGGCTCAGTAGACTCCTGTCAATGTTTAATGTGCATCCCATGTCTTTCAAAATGAGGATTGGGAAAGAATCTTCACTAACCCTTTATCTGACAGAGGACTAATATCGAGTATATACAAAGAACTAAAGAAGCTGAAAAGCAGCAAACAAAGTAATCCAATTAAAAAATGGGGAACAGAGCTAAACAGAGAATTCCTTGACAGAGGAATATCGAATGGCAGAGAAACACTTAAAGAAATGCTCATCCTCATTAGCCATCAGAGAAATGCAAATCAAAACGACCCTGAGATATCACCTTACACCCATCAGAATGGCCAAAATAATTGGTTCTTTTCCTCTGCTGCTATTCTCCTTTCCTCCTCTGCCCGAGGTTTCAGGTAACTGTAGTGCTTGGCGCCATAGGCCATGCCAAGGATCAGGGCGGAGTATCGGCCGAACTTGATGAGCTGAGAGACCTGAACAGGGGGCACCATCTTGTCCATGACCTTCGTGTTTGTTTGTTTTTCCATGTGAAGTTGAGAATTTTTCGTTCAAGTTCTGTAAAGAATTGTGTTGGTATTTTTTTCATTTTTAATATTTCTTTATTTTAATTTTTATTAATTACACTTTATTTACTATGTATACCCCCGTAGCCTCCTCCTTCCTTCCCTCCCAATCCCACCCTCCCTCTTCCTTCTCCACGCATGCACCTCCCCAAGTCCACTGATAGGGGAGGTCCCCCTCTCGTTCCTTCTGATCCTAGTCCATCAGTTCTCATCAGGAGTGGTTGCATTCTCATCCTCTGTGGCCTGGTAGGGCTGCTCCCGACTCGGGGAGGTGATCAAAGAGCAGGCCAATCAGTTCATGTCAGAGGCAGTCCCTGTTCCCATTACTATGGAACTTTGATGGGAATTGCATTAAATCTGTAGATTGTTTTTGGCAGGATGGCCATTTTTAATATGATAATTTTACTGATTCAAGAGCATGGGATATCTTTCCATCTTTTGATATCTTCTTCAGTTTCTTTCTTCAGAGACTTGAAGTTTTTTTTCAACAGCTCTTTCACTTGCTTGGTTAGAGTCCCACCAAGGTACTTTATATTATTAGTGGCTATTGTGAAGGGTGTTGTTTCCCTTCACAAAATATGGAATATATACAATTTTTTTCTCAGCCCTTTTATACTTCGTATATAAGAGGGCTACTGATTTTTTTTTCTTTTAGTTAGTTTTGTATCCAGCCACTTTGCTGAAGGTGTTTATCAGCTGAAGGAGTTCTCTGGTTAAATTTTGGGGGTCACTCATGTATACTATCATACAGTCTGAAAATAGTGATACTTTCACTCCTTCCTTTCCAAACTGAATCTCCTTGATCTCCTTTATTTGTCTTATTGCTCTAGCTAGGACTTTAAATATTATGTTGAAGAGATATGGAGAAAGTGGGCAGCCTTTCCTTGTCCCTGATTTCAGTGGGATTGATTTAATTTTCTCTCCGTTTAGTTTGATGTTGGATATAGACTTGCTGTATGTTGTCTTTACTATGTTTAGGTATGTGCTTTGTATCCTTGATCTCTCTAAGTCTTTAAACACGAATGGGTCTTGGATTTAGTTAAATGCTTTTTCAGCATCTAAGGAGATGACCATGTGGTTTTTCTCCTTCAGTTTGTTTATGTGGTGGATTATATTGTTGGATTTCCATATATTGAACCACCGTGCATGCCTGGGATGAAGCCTATTTGGTCATGGTGGATGATATCTTTCCTGTGTTCTTGGATTTAGTTTGCAAGTATTTTATTGAGTATTTTTGCATTCGTGTTCACAAAAGAGATCGGTCTGAAGTTCTCTTTTTTGTTGTTGGATCTTTGTGTGGTTTAGGTGTCAAGGTGACTATGGCTTCATAGAATGAATTTGGTAATGTTCCTTCTGTTTCTATTTTGTGGAATAGTTTGAAGAGAATTGGAGTTAGCTCTTCTTTGAAGGTCTGGTAGAATTATGTGCTGAAACCATCTGGCCCTGGACTTTCTTTTGGAAGGGAGACTTTTGATGACTGCTTCTACTTCCTTGGGGGATATAGGACTATTCGATCTATTTACCTGATCTTGATTTAATTTTGGTAAATGGAATCTATCAAGAAAACTGTCTATTTCATTTAGATTTTCAAAATTTGTGGCATATAGGCCTTTTTAGTATGACCTAATGATTGTTTGGATATCCTCAGTGTCTGTTATTATGTCCCTCTTTTCGTTTCTGAGTTTGCTTATTTGGATAGTTTCTCTCTGCTTTTTAGTTAGTTTGGCTAAGGGTTTGTCTATCTTGTTGATTTTCTCAAAGAACCAGCTCTTGGTCTCATTGATTCTTTGAATTGTTTTCTTTGTTTCTAATTCATTGATTTCAGCTCTGAGTTTTATTTCCAATCATCTACTCCTCTTGGGTATGTCTGCTTCTTTTTTTTCCTAGGACTTTTAGGTATGGAGTTAAGTTGCTTGTTTGAGATATATCAAATTTCTTTCTGGAGGTACTCAGTCCTATGAGCTTTCCTCTTAGCACTGCTTTCATTGGGTCCCATAAGTTTGGGTAAGTTGTGCCTGAATTTTCATTGAATATTAGGATGTCTCTAATTTCTTTTTTTATATCTTCTCTGACCAAGCTGTCACTGAGTGAAGAGTTTTTTAGTTTCCACGTGTATGTAGGCTTTTTGTCATCTCTGTTGTTGTTGAGGTCTAGTTTTAGGCCATGGTGCTCTGATAGGCTACAAAGGATTGTTTCGTTCTTCTTGTATCTGTTGAGGCTTGCTTTGTGATCTACTATATGGTCAATTTTTGAGAAGGTTCCAAGAGTTGCTGAAAAGAAGGTATACTCTTTTGAGTTTGGGTAAAAAGTTCTGTAGACATCTGTTAGGTCCATTTGATTTAGGACCTCTGTAAGTGTCATTATTTCCCTATTTAGCTTCTGTCTAGATGATCTGTCCCTTGGTGAGAGTGGAGTGTTGAAGTTTCCCACTATTAAGGTGTTGGGACTGATTTAGGCATTAATGTTCCATTTGCAAATGCAGTTTCTCTTGTAGTCAGGGCATAGATGTTCAGAATTGTTATGTCCTCCTGGTAGATTTTTTCTTTGATGAGAATGAAATGGCCCTCATCTTTTTTGACTAATTTTGGTTGAAAGTCTATTTTATTAGACATTAGGATAGCTCCCCCAACTTTTTTTCTTGGTCTGTTAGCTTGAAAAACATTTTCCATCCCTTTAATCCGAGGTAATGTTCATCTTTGTTGCAGAAGTGTGTTTCTTGGACACAGCAGAGTGTTGGATCCTGTTTCCTCAACCATTCTTTTAGTCTGTGTCTTTTTATTGGAGAGTTGAGTCCATTGATGTTGATAGATAATAGTGACCAATGAATGTTAGTTCCTTTTATTGTGATGTTACTGTGTTTCTATGCTTGTTTTCTTTTATTTTTTTTTTATTGTGAGGTTATGTATATCCTGTGTTTTATTAAGTTGTAGTTGTTTACATTGGATTGGAGTTTTACTTCTAGTATATTCTTCAGGGCTGGGTTGCTGTGTAGATATTGTTTGAGTTTAGTTTTGTCATGGAATATTTTGTTTTCTCCATCTATGTTGATTGAAAGCTTTGCTGGGTATAGTAGTCTGGGTTGGCATCTGTGGTCTCTTAGAGACTGCTTGACATCTACCCAGGCCCTTTTTTTTTCATGGTTTCTCTTGAAAAGTCTGGTGTGATTCTGATAGTCTACTTTTATATGTTACTTGGCCTTTTTTCCTTGCTGCTTTTAATATTTTTTTCTTTGTTCCGTAGATTCAATGTTTCTGGTCTGTTTAGTTTTCTGGTCTAGTCTATTTGGTGTTCTATATGCCTTTTGTATGTTTATGGACATCTTTTTCTTTAAGTTGGGAAAATTTTCTTCTATGATTTTCTTGAAAATATTTTCTGGACCTTGGAGCCTGAAATATTCTTTCATCTATTCCTATTATTCTTAGATTTTGTCTTTTCATGGTGTCCTTGATTTCCTGGATGTTTCGTGTTTGAAACTTTTCTAAATTTATGTTTTCTTTGAGAGATGTATCAATTTCTGCAATTGTATCTTCAACGCCCGAGATTCTCTCTTACATCTCTTGTATTCTGTTGGTGATGCTTACCTTTGTGGTTCCTGATTTTTTTTATCTAAGTTCTCCAGTTCCAAGATTTTCTCCGTTGATATTAACTCTGTTTTCATGTCTTGCACCATTTCCTTCATCTGTTGGTGGATTTTTGTCTTCTATGATGGCTTCTATTTTTTTTTTTTTGTTAGTTTTCTCTCTAGATGCCACTAATTGTGCCTCTATTTGTTTGGCTGTATTTGCCTGTATTTCTTTGAGAGCTTTGGTTGTTTCCTCTTTATGTGCCTCTAATAACTGGATAAACATAGATTTGAGATCATTTTCTTGTGTTTCCAATGAATTAGAATATCCATTGATTTTTGGGGGTTGGTGGTGAAGCCACAATGTACTGATTTTTGTTGGATGTGTTCTTATGCCAACCTTTAGCCATCTGCTTATCTGTAACATTTGCTGTTTGTTCCTGGAGTCTATACTTCAGACTGGGGCCGTCTGTCTCTGGTGTCTGGAGTATTCTTCAGGAAGATGAGAGTGGTCCACTGGTTCGTGAGTGAATGTTGGTGTTTCAGCTGTAGCTAAGGGAGGAAGGTTGCAGGTGCATTCGAGCAAGCACTGACGTGTGCATTGAAGTGTTCCTTAAAGAACTTCTCTATGCTGGAGCATGTAGATACCTGGAAGGGTGCAGCTTAAGTGCAGGAAGAGGTGCTGCACAGTTCTTGGGCACAATGCACATGTGCAGGTGCCCTGAATACCTCAGTGGCCTACAGGCCTGTCATACTGTCCTGTTGGTATTCAGATCTGTCTGGGCTCCAGGAATCATTTGCCTGGACTCCACTGGTAGACCCACAGAACAGGGCCTTCAATGTTGAGAACACTGGCCCAAGGATCCCTATCTTGCCCTTGTGGGGGTGTAGGTGGGAGGAATCTGTTATCTGGCTACTGGATAGACGGACCCTGGATCTGAGGCTTTGCACATACTCACTTGAAGGCACACTCACTTGCTCACAGGCCTAATCGGAAAGTACATGGTATCTCCCTGTTCTCTACTCTCAGATTTTGGCCCACAGAGGCAAATGAGAGTGTAGGAGATCTGTCAGCTCAGTGGTGTCCACTGTTTGGACACTGGGCAGGGAGACCTGTACTTGGGGCAGCTGCCTCTGCATTCTTAGTCACCGAGCATGGAGGCTCCTGCTTGGTCTAGCCGCTGCCCACTGCAGCCATAGATGTGGGAGGCCCATACTGCTGCTGCCTCTGCTGTCTCAGTCACCAGTCACCGAGTGCAGAGACTCATGCTTGGGGCAACCACTGCCACCTCCCCCGATCAAGGAGGCCCCTGCTTGGGGCAAAGGGAAGTGCAGGGAAGTTGAATAGTCACCACTCCCAGGCCCTGGAAATGTCCA